ATTTTTGAAATTTCAAATAGAAAAATTTTAATCTTCTATAATTCTGTTTAATATTTTCAATATTTCAAAGCTTTATTATAATATTTTGTATTTTTAATATCACAAAATTTTTAACGAGCGATATAAAATCTTTCTTTTAATAGCCTCTGTTAATATTAATAAAGACGAGTTATTAAAACTTTTAATAACTCGCGTTAATATTAATTTACAATCGATGCACGAGATTCCCCGCATAAAATCCTCTCGTAACTTTGATTTCGCTCCAATATGGCGTGAAATCCTATCCTATCCTATGTATAAAACACAAAGTTCTCGTGAAAATGAGAGGGCATCTATTCATCCGCACATTCTTCCTTTCATTCCCATTCCCATAAAGAGAACATCGGCGGATATCGTCCACCTTATTTCTGTTTAGACATCCATGGTGTACACTGTTATTTCTGCCACTCCTTCCTGTATTTTCCTTCTCATTTCTCCACACTTTTTTCCACGCCGTCACCGCTCGCTTTTTTCCGTAATTCTACTTTTTTCCCTCGCGTTCACTGGCCCTGTCTCTTCTCGCTTTCCTCATCGGGTGGGCTTTATGGACATGAAATTTACCCGGGTAAGCGTCACGTAAGCGAACCCGGTAATGAAAACGTCGCTGACGCGATGGGATTCCGGTAGCGGTCTACGTCGGCCGATGTATATTGTTATTATTCCATGGATATATCCATGGAGAGCGAATCGCCCCAGCAGGGAGAAACAGACCGCGGTCTACTAGCTTCCAATAACTTCGCAAGTGTGTTTCACGAGATGTAGTCTCGGCGCAGGAATCAAAAACAACCTATCCAATAAATGCTGAATTTCAAAAAAATTTATATTGTTTCCGAAAAATGTTTAGACACAAAATTATTATACGTATATATAAAAATTGAATAATTAGAATATTTCAGATTGCGCAAAAAAATATTATACTATGATATCATTTTTAATTTAATTTTTATTATTGTACAATTTTCTGTTAGTTTTTGATATTATTTATGTGGAAGGGCAAATGTAATTTTGTTTGCAATATTTTCTTTCTTCTTACTCTCGAGATTGAAATCCTTCGATCCGCGCCGGTATCTTCGTTAATGGATCTCGCGTGATGGGGTAGCCTCGTTAGCTTGAATTAACTAAGCATCCATTTACTTTTGGTGACAACACACTTTGCACACTCGATAAAGCATTTCTCTCGAACGTCAGTCGACTCGATGCGCGCCGTTATTACTCACGTCGTCGATGGAGCGAGCAGCCCCTTCAAGAGCGCCCGATCATGCTTTCTAGAAGTCGAGTGATATCCGATTCAATTACGTCGAAGTGACGGACCATCGCCCTGCGTCATCCCTGACTTTTTATTCCGACAAAAGCATCGCTACACTCACTTGAATATAATTATTATTGATAGAGAACAAGTGACGCATATATGGCGTCGAGACGTTTTACAGAAATTCATTTTCTTAATACCGTATTTTAATGTACAAATATATGTTATATTGTTCCGAAATTTAACAAAAATAAAACAAAAAATTTTTATTATACGTTTGTTAATCTATCTATCGCTATTTCTGGATCAATCCTTTATAGAGCGTAAAGCAAACTAGTTGCGCTAAATTAAATAGAAATTTCTAATGTAACTTGATATCGGTGCAGTTATAAAGTTCCTTTTTCCAGTAGCCGCAAGCGCTTAAACAAGAATAAATTTTGATATTGCTAAAAAAGAACAACGAAGACTATCCCTATCAATCTCCTCCCTCCGCCCCTTCTCCCCCTCCCTGTTCTCTCTCTCTCTCTCTCTCTCCTTTCGAATCGTAACGCATCTTTACCACGAATGATTTGTTTCGCCCCGAACTCTCGGGTGGATAAAACGATCCGTGGACACCGCGTGCGCGCAGGGAGGGGGGGTCGCTCATCCCCGTATAAATCGAGCAATCGAGCGCGTCGAGCCTCGCGCGCCGGACTTCCGTTCCGCCGATAACGAATATTACGAATGGTCGGACGGTGTCTCGTTTTTGATCGTTCCTCTTTTTGAAACGCCGCTCGCGCCGCCCGCGGCGCCGATACGGTCACCTGCCGCTGATTTACATCGACACGGTGCGGGCGGACGCATCAATTTGCCGTGCCGATACTTCTACGTCTAATCGGACATCGGAACGTTATCCGCGCGGCGGCGAGGCCGCGCGCCCGACGGGCGGCTGCGTGTGGAAGCGGTATCGATATATACGCATTATCCGGAGCGATTTCGCTCGCATACACCGATTATCCTCCGACTGTCCCGCGTCACTTGTTCCCTCTAAATCGGCTGATTAAATTATGGTCCTACCCCCTTTCCGCCCCTCCTCCATCATGCCGTGGCACGCTACAAAGATTAATCCGTTGGCGTAGCGGAGGAGGATGATACCTCGACAAACCTGGCTACAAACAAATAGTGGCTGGAAACAAATAGTTCTTTGATCGGACGTAATGCGACGTAAACGACTCGACGACTGGACTCGTCAACTTTTTAGAGATTTTGTTTGTGTTGTGAAACAAGATCGATGCGATCGGAATGCAAGAATTTTCACGGCTCGTTCGGAAACGTTCGTTTATTTCATTTATTGTATTAACTAGCTCTTTTTGCGGGGAAAACTCACGCGAAACGCCGGACGGATTCAATTGGAATTGGACGACACGGTCGATAGATGGGTTAAAACTTTATACCATAGGTCCGAATTCCCATGTGAAAAAAATATTTTGTGGAAAGAGTCGAGCAATAAATCGTCGGAATGACCGAACGGACACAGCCGGATATCCGGTTTGTTTAAAAAAAAATCAAGAAAGTACTTTAATTAAAAAGCTTTCGCGGATGGAAATGCAATATTTTTTTCTTTATATATTGCTTAGCTTTATTTTATATATTTTGCAAATTATATTATAATATAATCGTTCGATCTTGCTTGTTAAAAATTCCTATATGGTAACACAAAAATATCCAAATATCACAATCGCATGTATCACCGATTATTTATTCAACCTTAATTTCAACTTTAATAAAAACACTTGGCAAGTTCCTCCGCGAGAAACTGAATTTAATTAAAATACGAATTTAATTGTTACGTTCAATCGAGAGTTCGATTATTTTTCATGAGTTTCCTGACAAATTGCGCTATCATCCGATGACACTGATAACACTTTATCTCGAGGCAAGTCCGAAATTATACCGCGAAAGAAATCCCGCGGCGCGCCGTATGCGGCGCATACAAATTTTGATAAAAACACGGACTTATCGGGTTTTACGGAGGTGGCCGCGGAGATATGCGCGGCGGCTTAGTAGGACGAATGGGGGGATATCCAACGACGGAAAACGTACACCACCCCCCCCCCCCGTCGCCGCCGTCGAAGGCACCGGGGTTGGAGTGCGGTAAGCAGCTCATTAGAACCCTCCCCGCCGACCGGCCATTATTGCCTCGTTCCGTATTCCGTTACAAATTGCTTTATTAAATTAAAGTCCCACAACCCACACTGTACCGCGTCATGACGACCCTGCGCGTCGACCCTTCCTTCCACTCTCCTCCTCCAAGTCCCTTTCGCTTTTCGCCCCCTTGTATATACGCGCCCACATGCCACATCGGACTGCGTGCAGCCCTCCCCCCCCCTCGGCCTCCGAGAAAGTCGACCCCCTCTACTACTGTCCCTCTCGATTACCCTCGAAAATTTTCTCGAGCCTCTTCTTCCTGATCTAATTAAGACTCGACCGACTAAGAGTGGCCGAGATTGAAAATAATTAGCCATCGCGAATAAGATAAGTTCAATGTATAAACATTTTTTGCGAGATAATGCGGACGATCAATAATAAATATCGATTAAAAATTTAAAATAATATAAATGCTAAAAAGACAATTTTGAATGAATTGACGAAGAAAATAGTTCAAAATGTTGATGGTTAATTATTTAAAATGTTTTGTAATTATGAATGTAAGAATACAGTAGAAGAAGTAGGAAAAAGTAAAAGACGTTTTATAGAAAAATTAATGTCACAGTCGCGAGTCCAATGAAAGAGAGAAATATTAAATGGTTGCGGCAATAATTACCAACATTATAAGGACCGTAATTAATTCCCGGAATTAATTTCGAATTGCGGTTAAAATGAAATACTTCTTACGGTTATAACACGGAAGCTAATTATGCTCCAAGATATATCGCGGACATATTTTTCCTACGTAAAACAAATGGGGGTAAGTGTGTATATGGGGCAAGTGCATATAATAGCATTGCGCCTCCCTAATAAATTTCATTGCGCTGTATAATTAGCATACTAGCAACACAACGAAATTAAATTTATTAAGAAAATACAAACATATTATTTTGCTTCATATGTACTTATTCTTGTACAATTCAGAGGATTGATGTTAGCCTAACGATATAAAATATAGCGATATTCTCTATGATCTGTCACGACAGAAAGTCACAGATGGGACTTACAGTTTCCCCTTTTCATTCTAGTGAGTCGGAAAAGAGATCACGAGGGGCCTGATAGAATACCCGTATGACGGCACACACAATTGGACATACGCAGTTGCTTGAAAACGCAATGAAAGTTTACAGTCAACTCGTTGCTAAACGGCTGAACGCCATCGGTCGATACGATATCAAAATTCCGCTGTAGTTTTTTTGAGCGACGGTCGAAAAATTTCAACGCTAGTTGCTTATTTTCGTTTCACCCATATCGAGAATTGACGTTGAATAAAAAAGTCATACACGTTTGTACGAAGTAATTCAGCAGAGAATCGCGATATTTAGAAACTTTAAAAAAAGGCCAAAGAAATAAAATAAATTTCTCAATTTGCAAAATGCAGTTGTATCTTTAAAGTAACCATTAAACCGAAATATATTATCCTCTTAATCTCAACTCTCTCGCTTTGGGTGCTATGTATTAGGCTGAAATTAAACAAAGTGACGCCCCGTGCTATTGGCCAAAGCTAATTACTCCAAACGGATATTCGGGAACCACTCATCGGATGACGTGAATGTTGCAGTGTCGCAACAGCTGGGCTGTCAGCAAGCGATGACGGGCACGGGCGGTGGAGCCGGAGAACACGAGGGCGGCAAGAAGAAGCACACGAGACCCACATTTAGTGGACAGCAGATCTTCGCCCTGGAGAAGACCTTCGAGCAGACCAAATACCTAGCCGGCCCGGAGCGCGCCAAATTAGCGTACGCCCTCGGGATGTCGGAATCCCAAGTCAAGGTAACATCTCGCTCACTGTATATTTGACAATTAACGCGAGTGACGTGTCCGTTCGATCGGTCTCTTATTATTTACGAGCGTCATTAAGAGGGAGAAGATAATCCTTTATCACCGGAAATAAAGATATCTTAGATTTTAAATAGTTGGTTACGTAGAGGACAGATTCGATAACTTGACAAGAGGTATTTCGCAAGAGGGATGGGCTAACATAATAGACGGAGTTTTGCGTGATTCACGTCGCGAATATCCCGACACTCGTCAAAATCATATCGAAGGTATCCCTTCGTGAAAAAGAAAGGTGAAGAGACATTTGTCTTCGAGTTTGCCGCTGACACCGGGAGATCGATCAAAGCATCGCCCCGGCGCGGGAAACGCAAATCCGCGCGCTGCGAGTAATCCGTGACCGAAAAATCTCCCTCGAAAAAAGAAATCCGTCGCGACCGCCCGTCGGCGCCCAGAAGGGAGGGATAGGGGCCCCTCACGATGGTCCCCGCAAAAAGTGGCTCGCTCGCGTGGAGGCGCGATTTTAAAAAACGTCCTGCTCGTTGCCCGGCTTACTCCATCAACGCGTCCCGCCCGCGGGAGGGTACAAGGGAATGAGAGAAAGGGGGATGAACGGAGGAGGTGGAAAGGGAGGGCATCTAACGAGGTAGCCGGTAAAAAAGTTCGAAGGATAAAAGAAGGTGACAAAACAGCCGGAGACGTGTCAAGCTTTGCGGCACCTGCGTCATCCTCGGCGTCGCTCTCTCGCGGACGCCGGCGGTCTTGTTACCCTCTCACCAAAAGAAGGGAGGAGAACGGGGAACACCGAGTGAGACACGGGTGAAACTCTCGGGTGAAGCCGCGGTGACGGTGAGCGAAAGGATAAAGAGAGAGGAGAGTTATCTTTCTCCTTTCGTCCTTTGTGAGAGTCTTTTACACCCTCTTCTTCTTCCCCAAACATCTCTCTGGCCCCTCGCAAGCTCCTCCACCTCTTCGCCTTCC